GTTTTTTTTTTTCACTAGGATTTCTTGACTCTATTGTCATTACATAAACTGGCTTTTCTTTAGTTTCTGCTTTTTGACAGTTTCATAAGCAGAAGGATATTTTAGACATTATATAGGTGGACAGTGTGGAATGTTATAAAATAAAAGGCTAATTATCTTTTTTCTTTCCTTTTGCTGGAATCACGGATTTAGCTAGATAATATATCTTTTAACCTTTAATACTTTTATGTCTTCTGCTCATTGCCCTTTGACTCTAAATAATGTGCTTATGTCTCCATGTCTTAATTTACCAGTTTCATATTGTCTTTGCTGATTTCTGAGTGAGAGATGTGGCCATTTCAGTTAACATCCCTTTCTTTTTCTCCCTCCTCTCCTCCTTAACTTTTACAAGGAATATCACTTTTAGTTTTGAGTATTTTTATAACTAAGTAATATATTTTCACCTCTATTTCTTAATTTATCAACTTTAGACAGTAAGCCTTTACTAAATGGTTCATTCCTAATGGGGGAAATCACATGTAAAGATGGTTAGTCTCTATATTTCTTGGATCATAAAATGTCATATCTATGAAGGAATGCTTCACTACAAGCAAATATTTGGTTATTTAAATGAAACGAGAAAAATGTGACAGTAACTAACATATTGCTTTACAACCATATTACTTATTCATTGCTCAAAATATTTTTTAATGTCTATCAAATAGCTATTCTTAAATTTTTATATAAGGAAACAAATACGGAACATCACTGTAGTAGTCTTCAAGGTCTTGTTTTTTTTCTGTTCAGCATCTAGATTTCGTGTGTGTGTGTGGCGGGGCAATATTATTCTGAACAATGACCCCACCTGTCCCTAGTCTTAGTTCATATACTTACAGGTGAAACTGAGCACATCCTTGAATTAATGAAACATGTGTCTTAAACTGAGCACATCCTTTGGCCACAGTGATTAGTTCTAGCTAAATAGATCATCAGACTCTCCAAGGTGTATATGGCTGGGAAAATGAGAACAATATTTCTTGCTCTATTTTTCTATAGGTAGAGAGAGCTCTGGGACTGCTGGCAGCCATCTTTGAAGAGGTGAAGGAGCTTCTGAAGAAGCCAAGTGCAGAAAGACAGTTTTACTCATCTCACTAGAGTCTTTTCCAAAACATCTTTATTCCTGCTGTTCAGTTACAGCAGCTAATACAGATCCTTTCTTGTTTACAGTAACATGCATCCCTTTCCTGTCAATTGTAATAAGTACACAATTAATTCACAACAATCCTGATACTATGATACTAATTCCTTTGTCTTAAATCTAAGGGTCTTTCTATCTATAACTTTGCCTGCTCTGAAAGCAAAGTCTCTATTTAGGGTTCAGAAAATCACCCTTCAAGTTCTCTTCAATGTATCTTTTGTCTTCTTTCATAATCTACTTAATATTTTTTTTATTTTTAAAAGATTTATTTACTTATGCATACAGAACTGAGGTACAGGGCAGAGGTCAGGGGCAGTGAGAGGTTTCACCAGAGAACAGGCTGACTGATGAAGAATACTGATGAAGAATACTGCTGAGGGGAGCAGTCGGTGGGTGAGGAGAGGTCTGCCACGCCATGTGGGTCACCTCCAGTGCCAGGGATTGAACTTGTGTTGAAGTGGCTTTAGCTTCTTAGAGCTGTGCTTTACCCGCTGTGCCACGAGGGAGGGCCCTCTACTTAATAATTTTTATAAATGCAAATTCATCATGTGGAATTCACTCATAAATTCGTATGCATATATGTTCACTCAGGGTTTCCCCTACATCCCTCAATAAAGACTGAGACATAGAAATCTGATTTGAAAAGTTTTATGTTAAGTACAGTGACTTTTAATGTTGGGTGGACAATTGTTGATCCCCTTAAGTTGCAGGGACACAACCTAGCTCCTGCTGCTGTGTGCAAGGTCTGTGGTCATCAGATCCAATTATAAATCGTCTGAAAATTCTAGAGTATATGTAACCCAAGACACAGTATTATAATTAGTAATATGCCTTGCACAGAGAATTTGGATTAATCTAAAATGTAATTAAATTTTATACCTTTGAATAAATATGCTAAAGTACAGAATTATCACAATACTAACAATCAAAATTAAATAAACTAAAACTGAAGAGGGTGGCTTGACTTAGAAGGTTTACTGATAGGGGGAATGTAAATGAAAGTGTGTGGCCATTCTAAAAGGAAGCACTCAGGAGGCACTGCTGAGGATATAGCATGTGATGAATTAGGCTTTTTATTATACTTGATTTCACATCAAATTATATAACTTTACTATGGTATAAGAAGAGCTCTATCATTACTCAAACTTTAGAACCACACAAAAGTAGAACTAAAAAAAGGAAAACACAAAAGACCTTTTGATTTCTTTTTTGAATGCACATTCAGTCTAACTGTAAAACTGGAGCTACCATGGGAAAGGGGAAGGGTGAGTAGGATGTGGGGGCCCAAAGGACTAGGGTAGAGGACTGTAGATGCTGTGTGATGTGACCCTAAATGTTGAGGTGGTGTGAGCCAATATGTCTCAATCAGAGTGTTGTAAACCAATGCTACCTTGATCAATCAGTAAATTAGCTCTGTCTTGATAAAGTTACTTTCTAAAAAATCAACTAGACCCCAGATTACAAGGCTGGAAAGCAGTGAGAAGAATGGAGATCAAGTTGAGTTTCTGGCATGAACATCATGGTAAACTTGTAAATTAGCTTTAAAGAAGGCTTTTCTAAATGGATTAAAGGATAGAACAGGGCCCTCCCTGGTGGCACAACGGGTTAGGATGCAGCGCTGCAAGCTGGTCACAGCAGCTTCAGTGTGAGTTCAATCTCTGGCCCCGGAGGTGACCCACATGGTGCGGCAGACCTCTCCTGACCCGCCCACTGCTCCCCTCAGCAGTGTACTTCATTGATCTGCCTGTTTTGCTCCCCACACTATCTCTGGTGAAGGCTCTCACTGCCCCTGCACCTCTGGCTTGTACCCCAGTTCTGTATGCATAAATAAATCTTTAAAAAAGAAAAAAAAAAAGGATAGAACAGAACATGTAGGTTGGGAGACTAAAAGGAGGAAAAATGTGTGTATGTAAGCAGATGTATAAAAAGATTGGCACATGTGCTATAAACTGAATTGTGAGGCAAGTGACCAAGCTAGAAAATTGAGGAGCTCAACAAGTGGAAATGTGCCAGCAGGAGGAAGTGGTTAGCAGTAGACCGCACAGGTGGACAGTCCAGACCCCAGAGTGTATGTGCCTCCTGCCCCCACAGTGAAGCTCAGGGAAGGTTTGTGCCTCCAAATACACCAGGTGAAAGAGGCTGCAGTGTTGGGGAGATGGATGGCTCCCTGTCTACTACCTCTAATTTAGAGTCACCTTCATTTCAAAGATGGAACTCTTGGGGGCCACTCTGCACAATACATGAATTGACAAAGTTGGGGAGCACCAGATTTTGGCTGAAATGGCAAGTGTCTTAAAGCTAGAAAGGAAGAAATTTCCCCATGCTGTGAACCACAATTTGTTGAGACATGAAATGCATGGGCGTGGGAGTTTGGGGAGAGGTACTACCAGTGATGACCACTAACTGACGCCAGGAAGTACTAAAATGCCCCCAAACCTTGTGTGCAACATCAGTATTCATCCTTGGAGTCTGCAATTTTCATTGAAAACTAATGACAACGGTAGTGCTGAATGTGGAAAGACCTGTACTTCCTGAAGTTATAGCTGTGTGATTTTTTTCCCCCAAATTCATTTGTGCTTTTGTGGTTTTGCTTGGCTTGACCTTTGACAGCTTGGCAGCTCAGAAAGTGAAAATGAGGGTCTCAGCAAATTGAAAAAAATTTACTCTAAATGTTCCTTTAATACTGGTATTTCTCAGACACAGACTCCTGATGTCTTAATTAATTTTTCTTGGCATTTCTCTAAAATTATCCTTTAGCATTTGTGAATCTACCTTGACTTTTCCTCTGAATTTGAACTCCCTGATATTTTCCTTTGATACAAGATAGGCACTTCTCTATGGCCAGGTCAGATATTTTTATTTGAAGACTCTTTGAAAGCTGCTGAACTCAGTGGCAACTCTGGGGTGACAGGCTTAAGAAATGTCAGCTGACAGAGGATGGAGTGTGGTTGCTTTATTTTTTCCTGCTCCCCTAGGTAAGATCTCACCTAAAAAATAAATTCCTTTGTTATTCGAAGTATATTTCCAAATGAATTTGAGGTAATTAACACCCTGAATAGAATTTTGTTGTCACATTAAATTATAAGATTAACTATTTTCCTCTGGGATATTTGACAGCTGCTCATGTGTTAGTCTTAACCTAAACCCAAGAAAAGACCTCTGATGTAGTGAAAGCCACTGATGTGGCATTTATTAAATATAAATGGTAAGTAATGAAGGGGAGATGAGGAAAGAGCACTGGTTCCTAGCTCCAAAAGAAAATTCTTCCAGAATGAGGGCTAAATTATAATAGTTCTCAGCTGAAGTGCCACCAGTTTCACTGGTCACATGATAGTTTAAAGATGTGTGTGTTCTTATAACTCATTCTATTTGCATTGAGAAATGAAAAAAATATTCTGACTCTCATATTGTATCTCCAATTTGCCAGATTCACTATCAATGCAAATTTCTATTAGGCTGTTATCTAGAAAATGACATGTAGAAGAAAAAAAAAAATAAATGTTGACTTGAAACAAAATTCTTTTCTGTGCCTTTTAGAAAGCCTCAGTGAATCAGCTAAATATATGCACCAAAGGAACAAAATTACCCTCTGGGTAGTATTTTATAATAGGCTGGAAACATGAAACTCATTAATAGCATTAGAAATTAGGTGCCAAATGAATTGTACCCATTACTGGAGATTTTTTCTGATAACAAATCCTTATATGTTAGAAATCGCCTCTCACTCTATAACATAAGAACAAAGATACTATTAAAGCTGCGGGGAATTATTACCACACAGTATATTCTCACACAGGGAAGCGAGACCAACCCCAGGACTTACTATGTCAGGACAATGGCCACTGCATCGTTCAACACGCTCTCCCCAAACAGGAGCGTGTACAGGTCGGGGTCCACATGCAGCTCGTGGAAGATGGCCAGCACTGTCACTAGGAGGAAGCACACACAGATGTAGAGTTAGCTGAGCCCCCCAAAGCCTGTGCTGTGATCACTCCAAACGGCATTCGTTAAATGCTCCTCTCCAGCCCATCCTCTAGACCCACACCAGGTCCTGACTCCAAAGCAATCTGATCTGTCACTCCTGCTTAAAGGATTTTCTAGGATTCTCACAGTTGACACAGAAAGTTTGTGCTTCTTGTACAAGTCCTTTAGAGTCTACACTCCGTTTGCACTCTAGCTTCTCACGTGGCTAACCTTTTGCTACCTCTCTCAAGCCACACTGAACTTGCCAGAATTTCTCAAACACATGGGGTAATTTTTAAACTCCTTTTGCATTTTCTGTCTCTTTATCAGGGTACAGATTTCTTTTCCATCTACCTGTTGTTGGGCCTCCCATTTATTAAACACACAAACACAGACACACAGCCATTTCAACACTTCTTACTATAAAAACAATACTTAAACTTTAAAGTCTTTCAAGTTTCCCTCCAGACCCCAACTACCTCAGCACACACCTGACTCACTCCTTTATGATCCAGCATTGGAATCAAACCACAAAACTCATCACAGAAGATTTGGGCGCTCCCCAGGGATATCATCTTTGCAACACAGGCTATTTGGCAAATGTTCTCCCAAGTGTTGTCATGCAAGGTTGACTGACTCCTTAACGGATGGATGAATGAATGAACGAATGAATGTTACAGAAGGAGAGGTGGTTGCCACCTGGCTCTCATTCTCCCTTGATATCAGACTTCTCTGTGAAGACGGATTCAAAGTTCCTCAGAGCAGATCCTAAAGTCTGGTCTCCAACAGCCTGCTGCATAGCTACTGTATGGCCTGTACTTGTATGAGCCTCTGGGAGAGCATCAGGAAATAAATATTCACACACTGATTATCTGTTTTCATCAAAACTATTCACTGCCTTGATATTTGAAACAGTTATGCAAAGTGTGAACAGCAATCATTAGGAAAATGATCCATTGAGTTGATTGCTAAAGGGGGAAAGAGGCTGGTTGAAATGATATGCTGGTAAAATTTTAAGGCAGAGTGGGCATTTTCATTGCTATTCTTTCCCTTCCTGTTTCATGGACTATGAGGTTAGTAACTACGTTGTGTAAAAGAGTGTTATGGGGGAGAAAAACTGAGTGTGTGTGAGCTTTTGTAAATAGAGTTGAGGCTTGGCACTTTTTCTGCTGCAGTGGGGAGGCATGGAAGGGTTTTTATCAGGAGTGGATCAATTTGATTTGAACTTTGGAGAGAAAGTTCATGCAGCAGGACCATGGCAGAATAGATGTGTGGCTGAAGGCTTGCCCAGTAGCTCCAGCAAGAGATGAGATATACCAAGACAGGAAGAAGCGTAGATTCAGGCTCCCAAACTCAAGCACACCTTGCTCCTTCCTGTACTCTCCTGACCCTCCTGCCCCCCCCCCCATGTCTGACCAGAGGCTTGGTCTTCACTTATTCACTAGTTCTCATCTCCCCTGGGTCACAAGTCCTTAGCACAGTGTTAGAATGTAGTAATAGTATCTGAGTGAACAGTATATGAGTGAATGCATAAAAGATATGTCAGGGAGGACTGAGTAGAGGAGGCCATGGCCCCAGCGTAGTTGAGATGGAACAGTGGTGGCTCTTGGTGCTGGAGAGACAATACGGAGCCAATTCTGGATTTCACTCCTGGGCAAATACATAAAAGATTAGTTGGTATGCAGGGGATTCCAGGAAGTTTGCTTTTGTACATTTCAATATGAAAGCTGGAAATAAAGTGTTTTAACTGCAGAGTTAAGGCAGAAGAAAGAATATGGAGATTGCAAAATGCTGATAGATGGACTACAAAGTCACAAGAGTGACTGAGATGCCTGGGCAAAGTATACAGAAATAGAGTTCAAGAAAAATTATTAGGGGCACTTACCACTAAGGGGAAGTGGGGAAAAGAAGCAGAAAACACATGTGAGGTGTATTTGCAGGACTTGATCCTAAGCATGAACAAGTCAACTGGAAACCAATCCATTGTGAATTTCTGTAAATGGGTTTTCATTTGCTAAAATTATCCTAGAGGAAAGAATGTTGAATTCAACAAACTAGCTTTGGGATAGACAATAGAAATAAAATGTCATGAATTCGCGTGGCAACTGGCCAGGTCTCATTTTACTAGTCATAGAATCAATTTTGTTATTCTAGCAGAGTAAGTCCTTAATTGTGATAGACAAAATGCAGTGATCTCCTCTCCAGTAGTGTGTAGTTATTTGCATTCACTATACTCTTTACCCTTTGCAGGTGGTGATGGGAGGGGGAAAGCAATTACCTCTCCCAAGTTATCTCTTTCTCCTTCTTGGAATGATTAAGACCCTGCATCTAACAAAACAAAAAGCTCAATTGAGCTTTTTAATGTACAGCATTTTCCTTTTGCTAGGATCTTGTGGAATAAAAGTAAAGTTATCTTTGATCTCAAAACGACAGCTCACTCATTGACTTTTGTTTCTGTGGTTGTCTGTCCTTCTGAGCTCTGAAGATGATTTGCAGCTCATCTGTACTTCTAGAAATTTCCACAAAGCTGTGGACACACAGGTATGACCTGGGTTCCTTTTCCTAATTTTCAACTGTGCAGTCCACTGTTCACTGAGATAGACTCTATCTTCCCAATGAGAGCTTTGAGCCTTAGGTGGGAGGGGCCTTTAATTGAATATCCAGTCTTTTCAAAACTGTTTTGACATTCCTTTTATTCAGAGAACTGAATTCTACTTCATAAATGGTATCCCACACAAAAGAGAAAGCTATTGCTTTGCACATTCCTATCTACCCTGTAAAGAAATAGAACAGCATCGAAATAAAGCCAAGCAGTGTGTCCTACAAGGAGTATTTGCTGGGGTCACAAATGAGTTGAATAAGTGAGTCAGGAAATTAACCACCCACTGTTGCTGCTGAGCTTAGACTTTTAAAAAACTCATTTAATTAGCTCACTGGCAGGACTCAATCTTACGCACAATATCCAAGTGTCTCTGTAGCACCTTCCTGGCAGAGAATCTCTTGGAACAGCTGTGGGCATGCTCCCACCAACTCTGTCCACACTTGGTGGCTTGCAAGGAATACCTGGGCAAAACAAGGCTTGAAAACAATGCCTTTGATGACAACAGGAGAATATTCTAGACTATATGAGGACAAAGGAAGAAGAGACCATCCAATTTCTTAAACCTCTCATTTTATTGGGATTTGTTCATTTCCATTTCTGTCATCCATTGGTTCCATTCACCTCAGTGGTAGATTCCACTGTTCGCCATAGGACTTAGAGGTCCTTTTCCTTCATGCACCACACCTCCCTTATTTCTTACCTGACTTTTTTTGAAAAAAAGATTTATTTATGTATACAGAATAGGGGTACAGGACAGAGGTGCAAAGGTGAGAGGCAAAATGGTGAGCAGAACAGACAGATTTACTAAATGCACTACTGAGAAGAGCAGTGGTTGGGTCAGGAGAAGTCTGTCATGCTATGTGGGTCATCTTCCTGGCCAGGATCAAACTCTTGCTATTGTGGCTGCAATAGCTTCATAGTGCTGTGCTTTATCCTGTTGTGTCACCAGGGAGGGCCCTCTTGCCTGACTTTTTAGCTAGAGAAAATTCTGCTTTGTCACTCAAATTGGCAATAAGAAGTCTAAGTGCACATAAACCTATGTTCAAAAAGAGGATCTCATATGCACACAGGATATATAGCTTCTCCCAGGTAAGAACAGTAGATGATGGGGTACTACCACTGACTTCCTAGAGCTATCTCTGAAAAACATAATTTCAGAAGCCAGACAAGAGGCCATGGAGGGAATGAATGTTGAGTACTTCTGGAAAGCCAGTGACAAGAAATGGAGAGAGAACATAGTTTATGGGGTATATGTTCAAGCAGGTCTTGTTCTTATATTCCCAGTTTATGGGATGAACAGGATAACCCAGAGGTATGAGAGGTTGAAGACAGAGGGAAAAGAAGGGATACAATTAAATCAAGTTCAGAAGGCAGAGAACAACTGAAAACAAGACATGAGTTAGAAGTTAGGAAAAAATTGAAAATTCCAGAAACAACTATTCTAGGGTGTTGAGTGGGGGTAGGGAATGAATTTAAGTTTTATGAGTAATTGTTAAAGTCAAATATAAGGTAATTCTCTCTCTCTCTCTTTTTTTAAGATATGTTTATTTATGCATATGAAACTGGGGCAAAGGCCAGAGGTGCAGGCTTGGTGAGAGGATTCACCAGAATCAGAGTGGGGAGCAGAACAGGCAGATCAGTGAAGTACATTGCTGAGAAGAGCAGCAGGAGAGACAGTAGAGGTCTGCTGCACCATGTAGATCACCTCTGGGGCCAGAGATGGAACTCACACAAAGCGGCTTGTGGCTGGCTTGCAGTGTTGCGTCCTAACCCACTGCGCCACCAGGGAGGGCCTATAAGGTAATTATCAACCTTCAAGAGAAAAACACTGAAATAATTTTTTGTCTCCTACGACAACCCTATGACATTAAAACTAATCTTTTCTCATCTCAAATGTAACAATGATACCTGAAGCTGAAAATACAGATATTAAATTCTTGGGCCATTAATATTTCACTGCACTGCCTCTTAAAGATGGCACATGGGAGAATTGGTGGTGGAAAGTCCATGGGGATTTCAACTGAGAGGAAAAATGTCTAAAAGGAAGAATGACATAATATATATGTAAAATAAAATATTAAAATAAATAAATAAAAATAAAATAATTAGGGGAGGAAGGTATGTATTCCCTGAAGCATGGCTCCACTTCAGTTCCCTTGCCCCTTCCTGACCTGATTTCACCAGCCTGACAGTCCCACTTTATTTCTGTTTCTTTTCTCAATAAATTTTTTACTTCTTTAAAAAAAAAGTCTTCTTTTATTTTTTCACTACTCTCTTTTCAACTGACCACCTTCCTAATGCTTTTTCATTCATGTCCAAGTATTCAGGATGATTTAGTGACAGTCCCTTCTTTATAATCTCCAT